TAATATATATGTGTGTGTGTGTGTGTGTGTGTGTGTGTGTGTGTGTGTGTGTGTGTGTGTGTGTGTGTGCGCGCGCGCCCGTGTGCGTGTGCGTGCGCGTGCGCGTGCGCGTGCGTGGGCGCGCGTGTGTGTGTATTGTTTAATTTAATGGACGCAGACGATTCTACTACCGAAAAGCTATATACAAACACGTCATTACGAGTTGATCGTAGTTATTAACTGTTATTTTATGCGCCACTTTATATTCAGCCTGTAAATTAAATCCCTATGCTAATCAGCCATTGTTCTTAAACAATATTAACGTTCGGTCATCTCTATGAACAGACTACGCCCAGAATATATTATTATGATTCAAGGCACATGCAACCTTTGATTACACACAGATATGAAGAGACATTTTATATATCTCCTAATGACCATCATAATAGTTATATAGCTCAGAACCCACTCGTTTGCACATTTCAGAAGTAGAGACTTCATGTCAATTTGTGTTAAAATAAAACAATGCATAGATAGCACCAGGAGTTAATAATGACAATTTGTCATTATTAACTCCTGATAGCACCTGCAGTTATTCGGTAAGGCAGTGTTTTATTGCGATATTATTATGAATAGGTGGTTGCGGCGATGACGCCATAATACCTACTGATAATGACTATAGCTATATCAACAATAAACCCTCACTATATAATAGATTCAACCGAAAACGACTTAGTGCACAATCCATGTGCTTATCCGCCCGACTAACTGCAGTTATCGTAAGCTTGGCGATACATTGATGTTTCTTGAACGATTATACATCTCACGATACATTGACGAGTCCAATTAAATACACCCCGAATAATATCACCTAAAAATATATAAGGGCTAATAGGTGAGCAATAGCGTGTAATTTCGATCAGGTACAAAACATGCAGTGCGTTGACTAATTTTAATCACCAATTAGTTTCTACCACGCACGAAGTGGCGCTTACAAGAACTCAAGCAGAAAATGCGCAGGCCCACAAAAATATGTGACGTGAATGTAACAAAAGGCACCAAGCCCGTTTTTTCTCGCCGTTTCTACGCGAATTTCAGTACTTTATATTATATCGCGCTTACCCATGCTCGTCCACAAGTGGGATGTAGCGTTTACCGCTGCCATCGTGAGCTTTGCAATTTCGAACCATTATATCAAAATCAGCTGAAAAGAAATTCAATTAGTGTGATGTGTTTTAACAATACGTGGGGATACTCCGCCTTCGCTGTATTGTAGCAATGGCGTCGTTAAGGCTTTAATGATCGAACGCGTGCCAATGATATTTATTGCTGCTTATTTTGCAGGCCATTACCACTAGACCATTGGAGGTCGATAACGGACTAAACCTGAGCAAGAGTGAGTGAGTGAGTGAGTGAGTGAGTGAGTGAGTGAGTGAGTGAGTGAGTGAGTGAGTGAGTGAGTGAGTGAGTGAGTGAGTGAGTGAGTGAGTAAGTGAGTGAGCGAGTGAGGAATCGTGTACCGGGGAGAAATACAAATTTTTCCAGAAATAGCCGAACGGTAGTAAGGCGCAACTTCGGGATCGCTCTGGTCCATAATACACATGTGTACACATGTATACGCATTGTGAACCCTAACCCTAACCCTAACCCTAGCCCTAACCCTAACCAGTACCCTAATCCTAACCTAACCCTAACCTTAACCCTAAACAGAAAAATAAAAAATAAAAAAATAAAAAATAAACAGATGGGATTCGAACCAATGACCTATTTCAGACGTAACGCTCGTGCTCTACGAGCTCGGCTATTCATAATTATTAAAAATAGCGCATGACATATGCTAAATAAGCAAATACCCTGGTATGTAAAATGTTTATTTCTCCCTGATGCAAAAATCGTGAGTGAGTGAGTGAGTGAGCGAGCGAGCGAGTATAAGTGAGTGAGTGAGTGGGCGAGTGAGTGAGTGGACGGGTGGAGGGTGATTTGGCGGCCAATACCGCAAGACAGCGAGCGAAGCGAGAGAGTGAGCAACGCTGTCAGCATAGTCATTAGTATATAGGTAGAACCAGATACGTTAGAATTATTGAGATACTATTTACCGATGCATCTACCAGCGGGAAGCCGGTGATGTTTATATTGCTATAAATAAAAATGATTACCATGATGTTCC